TTGGCTGGTTCCCCATGGAATCATGTCCCATTCAAGGGGTCACTGTTGATCTCTGCTATTGTCATTTGGACACTCAGCAGTGAACTTAGAGAATAACTTATTTGCCACTGTGATATTCTGTGTAGCATTGCTTCTGACCAGGAACTGATTTTAAAGCAAATGAAATCTGGCAATGGGTTCATACTCATGGAATTCATTTGTTTTACTGTATCTCCCATCGCTCTGAAGCAGCTGGCCCCAATGAACAGTGGGGAGCTCAGTTATGGAGCCGTCTAGGTGACAGCACCTTGCAGGGCCGGGGTATTGCTCTCCAGGATGTGGCGTATACTCTGAATTAGCAACCAGGTTTGATGCTGTTTTCCTCAGCTCCACGAATTCAGAGGTGGAAAAGCTCCCTCAAAATCACCTCTGATGGTAGTGATTTTACCTTTTTTTTTTTTTTATTCTTTGCTTCCTGTCCCCGACAACTTTGGACTCTGCTGGTTTAGAGGTCTTTGTTCCCAAGTGAGGAATGTTTCCGTCAAGGAAGAAAACAATGGTTTCATTAAATTGGAAGTTGAGACTACTACCTGGGCTCTTTATACCAGTAAATCAACAGATCACGGAGGGGCTTACTGTTTGGGTTCAGCAAGGGTAGGTCTTTCTGGGAAGGAAAATTCTTTGTTGTGGAACTGTCAGGTACATTTAGATCCTAGGTCTCCAGGCACTGTGTGCCAGCAGATACTTCTAGTCATTGATCCAACCCCCAAACATACCCTTCCTTCCCAAATGCCCTTTAGGGATATGGAATTGTCCCTGGTTGAGAATCACTTGTCACTAGTGCATTGTTTCAACAGTGACAAGGTTTATTTTTTATAATGTTTTGATAAGCAATAATAGAATAATAAACTTTATAAAATATTTCTTATTGAGCCAAATAACAAATTAGAGACATGGTTTTCTTTCTTTTCTCTCTTTTTTCCCCTACCACTCTATTTTCTAGTTGGGGATTTAGTTTTAAACCATTTTATGGATTTAAATTGTGGTCACAAACTCTAAGAAACTAGCCAAGGTGAGGTCATTGGCTTTAAAGATGTCTAGATTTGAGACAGGCTGGGACCTGGGACCCTTTGTTGTAGTGCTTGCACCTGGACAAATGTCTCCTCAAGCAACAAAATATGAAGAAACTATAAGGGACTAAAAATAACTGCGCACATGCACAGTTGGGGCAAATTATGAACAACAAGATACAAAAAGACTAGAAACCCAACTGCCACTTCTGAGGAGTCCAGAGTGAAAGCTGCGTACTGTGCATGCCCCCTGCACTCAACACCACCAAAGGGGTGGGCAAAACACCTAAGTCCCCCCTCTGGCCCGACCCCTGGACCCACCCCTACCCTTGCCCCATATAAGGGACCAGCTCGCTGCCCCCCTCAGGGAGTGAGCAAGGGAACCCGTTGCTTGTTTTCACTCCCTCCTGCTGCAGCACAAGTCCCAGTAAAGCCTTGCCTGAATTTCTCATTTGTCCTCTTATCAATTTCTATTGATTAAAGAGTCTAAGAACACTGTCAATAACCGATTGGCAATCTCTAAATTGTGGATATCATGACATCAGAGTTCATTTGACTGAGAGCAAGTTGCAATACCACAGGGTTATTTGTCTTGATAGAAATAAGATTTTATTAGAGAAAACATTCTGCTATACAGAAGGATGTATTACATTGCTCTCTGCATAGTAAGCTCAGGTTCTAAATTAAACTTAATTTGTGCCAATGGGAATTGCATCAGCTGGTTATGCACACACATGTGCGCACACGCAGGCGCACACACACACACACACGTACCTCTGGTGATTCTTACCTTCTGTGTTCTTGTCTTTCATCATAATGTTTACTGTAGCAACGACCGCAAAATATTCCTAGAGAATCTGTTCCTGGTGTTGGGTAATACACTTTGGCTCCAGGGCAAGTTCTAAAAGCTTCTATCAGCTTTTCATACTTTCTGGAATCGTCCTCAGTTTCCATTCTCTCCTTGGCCTGTGGCTGCAATGTGAGACAGCTCCCATCACACCTCTGAGACTGGTTAAGTCAGTTTACTTCTCTGAGTATTGATTGCCTTAATTCAGAAGCAAGAATACTGACTTGAATAAAAAGTTTAATGAACTTTAAAATCCCTTCTAGTGTGAACGTTCAGTGGCTCCGATTCATTTTCTGTCCTTACTGTGTCCAGTACAAAGCCAGTGGAGTGACACCTCCACAGAGATCTTCAACTATGTAGCAGCCCCCAAGGAGACAGACCCTGACTCCAGGCACTACCTGCAATGCCTCATTAGAAGCATCCCTCTTCCATCCAGTGGCCTCCATCTGCCCTCCTGCCCTCCAAGGATTCAGGTTTCTAAGTATAAAGCTCTTTGAATTCATATGTGGCTACAGCCAGAGGGGACCTCAGCCTTGCCATCTGGTCTAATTCTTCATCGAACAAATGAACAAACTGAGGCCAAGAGAAGTGACTTGTCCATGGTCACAAAGCCAGCCAGTAGCAGGGCTGGGATGTATATTGACATATCCTGCCTTCCAGTTCAGTGTTCTCTCCACTGAACCTGGGTGCCTGTCGTCAAATGATTACGGCTTCACAGGAATGGTGCTCCTAGAGATGGCTTTCTGCACTGTATTTCCTTTGGGAAGATTTCAAGCTGAATATCTCTTTCAGCTCTAAAATCTTTACACTGGGTATCAGGGGTCTGTGGACACTTGCTCCATGAAGCTCAGCAGAAAAGGAGGCGTGTGATAACAGGGAACCTGGGGGGTTAAATACACTCACTTCTCTATCCAGGGGCTATGGCCTCAGGCTGGCCTACTGAACTATTTGCTGAAAGGACATGAATTTCAATTCTCTGAGTCTGGAATGACCATATCCAGTGATGAGAAGGTAGAAAGACACATTTATTTAGCAAATGTTTTGTTTTGATGTTCTGTGCTGAGCAGTGTAGTGATTAAGCTGGGGCTTTGGAAACAATCATTTAGGCTCAAATCCCAGTTCCATTCATTATTAGCTGTTGAATCTTGGGCAAGTTATCTAATCTCTCTGCTTTATCTTACGTATTTGCAAAATGGAGCTGCTGCTGATATTACCTATGTATAGAGATTATTATTAAGATGAACTCAATTAATATGTATAAAGCACTTAGAAAAATGCCTGATACATAGTAAGTGCTATACAGTGATCGCTGTTACTATGCAAATTAAAAATATATTCACATAAAACATCAACATACATTTTGAAGTGATACATATTAAATATATTAGAATAGCTACCTATGAGGATATAAGAGCATTCCAAAAAAAAAAAAAAAAAACCCATGCAAGTAATTCCAGAGGTCCTGCTCTTAACTAGAGACACTGCCTCTTTTTTTATCCCATTGCCAATCTGAATAAACTGAGGCTAAAATAAAGGACGCTAAGGCATGAAGCATTCATGCAGAGGCAGCAGGAGAACTTGGAAGACAGTCTCCAGAATCAGATGGGAGATTTAGGCCCTTCCTTTTCATCCCTAAACTTCAGAATCTGTAGGCTGTCTACGAGTTAATACTGTTTGAAGAGGCTGCTCAGATTCCGCTAGCCGCACCAATCTTCTGCAGGGAGTAGAGTCAGGAGTGTGTTTTCCAGCTGCGGAAAGCGTCATCTCTGATGCCTGAAATGCAGGTCCATGAGCTTCAGCAGTAAGTTTTACTCAAATAGGAAGCAAGAGTGTAACTGTGAGAGATTGAAAAAAATGAATGCTCCCAAATAGAAGGTTGCCTAAATAAATTATGCCCAACCATATGACAGCATATAGGCTGGAATTATTCCAAGCTGGAATAATATTAATGACCTAGACCTAGAAAATGATCTAGAAAAGTATTTGTGATATATTGTTATTTAAAAAAAAATAGATCACAGTGTACTATGTAGAATGTGTGTGTATATATACACATACATGCATACGCACATATATATATACACACATACATGTACGGAAAATAGCAGGCAGGGTGTGTACATCATAATATTAACAGCGACTATCTTGAGCATGGGTATTAAGAAGAGTCTTACTTTTGCCTTATTTTACCTATATTTTCCAAGTTTTCTATAATAAACCTGTATGACTTTTATAAAGGAAAAATAATTTAAAAATAGCTAAAGGGGCACCAGTACTAAAGGTTGTTTTTCCTATGGATATCATGTTCCTCTTCTATAATCAAGTTGAAAATGATCTTTTCTATTCCTTCCAGGCTGATGCAATGGCTCCCACCTTTGTGCACAGGTGGCTGCTCTTATCCATGGCTGTCACAGCATGGATCCTATTGCATTCTGGTTACTGGGTACATACCCAGTTACAACCATCTGGCATATATAGAGCCTGGCACATGGGTATGTTTGACACAAATGCAGTAATGAATCGGTAGGGGCTCAATAGCTTGGATTTGGCTACAAGCTCTGCCATTTATAAGCTAGGTGAGTCCCAGTCTCCTGATCTGTACAGTGGCAATAACAATTGTGGGTCAAGAGACCTCCAGTAGTTTTCGTAAATGGCAAAGTGCTGGTCACAAGATGGGTGAGGGTGCAGAAAGAGGGTTTATTATCATTGCTGCATCTATTAACAGGTCTACATCTTCCCATCCCTTATTTCTCTTTGGTTCCCTAAGGCATCATGGTTACCATAGCAGCCAGATGATGCTGATGGTACCTCCAGGGGCAGCAAGGTAAAGCTGAGCCAGTTCCCAGGTCCTCGTGCATGCCCTTGGCAGGCCAGAGTGAGACGGTCTGAAGCTCAGCCTCCTTTCAGGCCCCCCACCCTGTCTAGGGTCACTTAGATCCACAAACCCTGCCTCTTCAGCCTCAGTTTGGGGGCCCTGAAACACCCCTTCAGAGGCTCCCTCCTTCCCAACCTCTGTCTCCTGACTCCCTGCCTGGTTGCCGTGGAAACAGGTTCCACTGCGGACAAAGGAGGGAGCTGGGTCCTGCTTCCTCCCGGTCCTACTGATGAGGATTTTTAGACCGTGGAGACTGCGCTGCCCTGCCTTGCACCTGCCCTCACTTCCCGTGTTCTCACTCAAGTGGAGATTGCCCTCCCTTGCCACTGACGAGACCATGTGTAAAAGTGTGACCACAGGTGAATGGAAGAAAATCTTCTACGAGAAGATGGAGGCGGCAAAGCCGGCTGACAGCTGGGGCCTCATCATCGATCCCAACCTCAAGCACAATGTGCTAGCCCCAGGCTGGAAGCAGTACCTGGAGTTGCATGCCTCAGGCAGGTGAGTAGCCCAGGAAGTAGGACCCCTGCAGGCAGCCCCTGGGACACCTTCCAAGAAAAGACAGAAACATGGGGAACCCAGGTGCTAGGGGTCAGTCTCACTGTTGGCCCAGTGCAGACTGGGAGGCAGAGAAAGAGCAGCTACTGGGAGTTGGGACACCTAAGTTTGATTCCAGCTCTTCCGCTGAGCACCTGGTAACTTTCCCTCTCTGAGTCATAGTCTCCCCTTCTGGAAAAAGAGGTGGAATATATTTATTAGTTCTAAACACTGGTATTTTACATACTTTTATATCTTAATAACCTCTTAACACAATTGAAAGCCAAGAGAAGGGAGGGGCTTGTGGGTCAAGAGGCCTATGTTCTGGTCCTGGAACAGTTCAGTTTCAATCTATTTAAGTCAGCTTGACTTAATATAAAATATTGAACACCTGAGGTGTGCTGGAAACTAGCTCTACTCTGTATGACCTTTGAGAAATTCAGTTTCCTTCTTGGACCTCACTTTCCCCACTTGTGGAAGGAGGGGTTAGCATAGATCCTTGCCTCTTGGTTCATGGACCAGCAGCAGTAGCATCACCTGGAACTTGTTAAAGATGCAGCATCTTCGGCCCCATTCTAGACCTGCTGAATCGGAATCTGCATTTCAGCAAGGTCCCTAGGTGATTCATATGCACAATAATGTCTGAGATGACTTTCGAGCACTCTTGTCCGTGGGTGGATTATGTAAAGACTTACCTCTGGGACATAAGATTCGGAGGTTGAATGGTGCAGCCTGGGGGTCAGAAGCAAGGCCTTCCTTCCTTCCCTAGTTCAATTTATTCAATTCAAGAAACATCTACTGGGTACCTGTTAGGTGTCGGATACTGGCTCTGCCTCTAACTCACTGTGTATACAGCTTTCTTACTCTCTTTGCCTCAGAGTAAAACAAAGGGTTAATTAGGTGATTTCTAAGCTCCCTCCAGTTTTGACATTTTCCATTCCAAGTTTTGTAGTCTAGTTTGGGAGAGGGGAAACGGTCCCCAAAGGGTGTGAGTAAACGAGAAGAGATGAGAATGGAAATGTGGAGTCCCTTAACCAGCTGATGGGAGGAATGCAAAGACCGGACACTCACTGTCAGGGCCCAGGAGCTTCTCAAACACCTGAAAGGCTTGTGGGGCTGAGTGGGGAGGGCTTGTGCATCCTCCCGACCTGGCTGATGACCTGAGAACCCCAGCTGGCCCCAGTTAGCTCACTCTGGGCGTGAACTGCCTCCACTTCCAGGCCTTCAGATACATTAACCCTGGCACCGGCCCAGAGGCTGAGAATTGACAACGGTGTCATTTTCTCTGGATTTGGGTCTAGCCAGTTCATAGTCAGTGTTGACAGGTAAGAGTGTGTGGATGGAGCTTGTGTTTTCCCTGTGGTGCGGGCCATCCCTGCTATCAGACTCAAAGGATATTTGAGCAGGAAGGACTGCAACGTGCACGTTTTACAGATGAGGAAAGGTGCCCAGAGCCAAAGGCCCAGAGGCAAGGCCTGAAGGGCACTGAAATGGAGGGCACTGAGGCTTCTGCAGAGCGCAGAGGGGGGCCCAGTGATGGCAGAGCGCTGCCGGATGCCAGCTGCCTCCTGAGGCGCCTACTCTGCTCCTAGCAGAGCACACAAGGGGGCGGGCTGGGAAGCCACCTGGGGAAAGCTAGTGAACCCAGGGGGCCGTAAACACAACACCTCTACCTCCAGGCTCTGCCTACTGCCCCTTACCTCGTTCCTGGATCTGTTTCCACCTCCTCCACTCCGTCCTCTCCTCCTGCTCTCCTCGTCTCCACAGGTTCCATTGCTCCTGGTGCTGGCACACCTGGCAGTCGCCCCACGTGGTCATCCTCTTCCACATGTACCTGGACCGCGCCCAGCAGGCAGGCTCGGTGCGCATGCGCGTCTTCAAGCAGCTGTGCTACAAGTGCGGCACGGCGCGGCTGGACGAGTCGAGCATGCTGGAGGAGAACATCGAGAGCCTGGTGGACAACCTCATCACCAGCCTGCGCGAGCAGTGCTATGAGGAGAGAAACGGCCAGTACCGCATCCACATGGCCAGCCGCCAAGACAACCGGCGGCACCGCGGAGAGTTCTGCGAGGCCTGCCAGGAGGGCATCGTGCACTGGAAGCCCAGCGAGAAGCTGCTGGAGGAGGAGGCGACAACCTACACCTTCTCCCGGGCTCCCAGCCCCACCAAGCCACAGGCCGAGGCGGGTTCTGGCTGCAATTTCTGCTCCATCCCCTGGTGCTTGTTTTGGGCCACGGTCCTGTTGCTGATCATCTACCTGCAGTTCTCCTTCCACAGCTCCGTCTAAGATTCCCTTGTTGGGCCCAGGCAGATGCTAGGGGCCCAAGGCCTGAGAGGCCAGCCAACTGGTGGGAGGGGTGAAGAGAGACCTGGGTTGGGAGTGGGGATAAGTTCTAGAGCCGGTGCCACCACTGACTCAGTGGGGACCCAGGACAAATCACCCTGCTTTTCTATCTATAAAAGTAAGGGTTTGGGCTAGATCATTGGCTTTTCAAAGTGAGGCCCAGGACCCCAACGTTCTGCATAGGTGCCTCGGGGCTTTTGGATTTGGAAGGGGTGAGTGAGTGCGTTTCCCATCATGGTCAAACCGCCCATCCCCAACTCCTACCTCCTCCTCTAGAGCGGCTCCATGTTAGATGGAGTTTATTTAAGAGTTTTGTATGAAAAAGGTCCAACTGCGTTTAAAAAGTTTGAAAATTACAGGGCTAGGTGTGATCTCAAGGGGCCTTTCCACAGCAATGAGCTCCTCCTTGCTTTCTCATTAACCCCAGCCCTACCCTTCATTATTGCCCACATCCAGAGCTGCAGCCTTACATTAGCCTCTGCCTGGTGTATGGGTCTCATCCATAGCTCTATCTCCATGCACACAGCAGAGGTTCCCCTTGAAGGGAGAGAGGTGGAGGCACTAGGCTGCCCCTTTGTCCCTGGGTACGCGGGGTCCCTTGTTTCTGTTTTCCACACTCCCAGTTTCCGGCTTCCCTCCACTCAGGGTGGATTCTGGGGCCTGTCTGGTGCCCAGATGGTGCTTGGGGTGGAGTCCCATAGAGCTAGGCTTCCCACCCACTGCACGTGAACCATCAGAGAATTTAGGAGAGGTTCAGAAGGTAGGATGTTAGAAGCAAAGCACAAAATCCCTAGGAAACAAATATAATGATTCTCCATTATAATGAAGAGTCCTCAGAGTTCAGGGACCGAGTCGGACTGATTCTCATTGGTTCTGATGGTCAGAGTACCGGAAGAGGGGCCTGGCTTCTTGAGCTATTTGCTGAAACCCTCGTTGAGAGGCTTTCTCATATGGGCCAGGCATGGGCCCACTCACCAAAGATCAGCAGTCCACCTAGAACCACAGGGATGGGGGCCCATTAGTAAGAGAGGGAGCATGAAAGATGGGAAGTGTTTTGCCCTAGAGAAGTGCATAGATAGGTGGGAGAATCCTAATCGCCTTCAAATGGGATGCCATATGGTGTAGAAAGGGAGGAGAGGAGACTTTCTGATGGGAGGGGTACAGACTGTGATTTGGGGAAGGGAGGCAGAAAGCAGGAAGTGGGACGCTACCCTGTACCTTTGAGGGTCCTCGTCCACCCCACCTTTGTTAATAACTTGACTCCTTCTCCTTCCCCCACTGCTCCCCTTTCTAATGGGAAGTCACCACCCACCATCTGTAGTGGTGGAGGGAGGAGGGCCACTTATATAAAGACAGGGTACTTTAATAAAGATGGGATTTCTTCAATCAGGCTTAGTAGTCATTACTGTGTGCTTGGGATTCACCAGTGTCCCTGATCTGTAATGGGCTGTTGGACACCCCTCCCATCCCCTCTCTCCCCTTTCTGGGGTCCCCATATAAAGCTTGATCTAGCTCCAGCTTCAAGGTCTGGGCCAACCGTGTACATAGTCAGGAGGGATTCAGGCAGCCCTTGGTCAGCCATCCAGGGGACTCAGCATAAGATAGTCTTACTCTTGCCCTTGCTCTGGTTCTAGTAACTGCCTGGTGACTTCCTTTGCTTCACATACACAAGTATTCATTCCTTTATCCAGGAGGCATATCCTGAGTGCCTTCTCTCTGGCAAGGCCTGATTTGGGTGCTGGGATCCAGTAAGCACTAAGGGGTAGGCCGTGTCTCTCAGAGATCTCTGCTTACTGCAGATATTCTCAGCCTTGGCTGTACTTCAGAAATCCTGGGGAGCCTTTAAAGAAATATCAGTGCCCAGCCACCACCTGAGACCAGCAGAATCAGAATTGCTGGGTGTGGGGCCTGAGCATCTGAAATTAGAATAAGACCCCCAGGTGATCCACCTGAGCTGCCTGGTGTAAGGCCTCCTAACTGAGGAATAGGCTTCCTTCTGCACCCAGGCTTATAATAATGAGCCCAGAGATCTTCCTTGATGACCTGCTGTGGATTCTCTAGGACTTGGGCACAGCTTCCCCACTCACTCCCTGGGGACTTGACCCTCCCTCAAACCTCCGTGCTCCTGCCTGACCACCTGCTGCATGGCTTTATCCTGCTCTGAGAATCTCCAATTTTGAGCTCTGCCACCCTTGCCAGATGCTTATCAAGCTTGGCTGTAATTGCTTGTCTAGAGCTATACTCCCTGCTAGAGTGTGATCACGGCTCGGAAGCGACTTACTCCAGTCCCCACTGCCAGGTAGTGGTAGAGCAAGGGTCCAACCCTTGCCTGGGTTTACTCCGGAACACTTTCCTAAATCATTAAGCCTCTTCCTGCTCTGTAGGAAGATGTCTACCATCTACAAACACCTCCTCCGTCTCCCTTATTGTCCCTCATACTTGCTAGGCTTATGCACAGCTTAGCCCTTGTCTTGGCAAAGACTTCTCTAGGGCAGTTCTTTCTTAGCACACATGGCCACATGCCACATGATGACCTTGTTAGATGTACCCTAGGTTTTATAAATAAACTCCTCAGGGACATTCCAGGATCCCAAGCCTCTCCCACTTGTGCTTCTGTGCATTGGTCTTGATGTTTGAGCCAGGAGGAGACCTACAGGCACTTGAATTGGTGTTCCAGAGGCTGCAATCCTTAGCGTAGGGTCAGCAAGAAGTGCTGCCTTGATCACTTCCTTCAAACTCAGCAGGATGGAGGAACAGCCCAATGGGAGAACGCTTCTTGGGGCTCAGGAGTCCTGCAAACCCAGAAGATCACCAACTAAGGATGATTTGCTGTGAGACAGATTAGAGATGTCTTGATTGAGTGCCCTTATTTTATGGAGAAAAAACTGAAGTACTAGAGAAAGTACGAAAGTTGAGCCGCACCGTACAGCATAGAGTAAGGCAAGATCAAGAAATCTGGGGTTAAGAAAGACTTGAGTCCTAGTTCTGCTACTTACTAGCTGTATGGCCTTAGGAAAATTAGTTAAGCTCCTTGAGCCCCAGTTTTCCTCCTTGTTGAAATGGGAATAATCAATCTGCCACGGAGGGCTATTGTAAGGAATAAATAATACACTATCTGTGACATTCCAGATACAAAGCCCATATTCATTCTCTTCTTTCTGATGAGATTGAATGCTCATCCTCTTCTTTCTTCTCCTTTTCCTTTCAATTGGCAGCCTCCCCTTTGAGACCTGAAGGGCTTTCTCTTTGTGATTTCAGTTCTGTTGGTAAATACTTTAGGAAAAACATGGAAGGCGAGGGTTAACCTCCCAGCCCAAGAGTTAGAACTAGTTTATTTTAATATATGTAGCATCATTTCTTTTCCTCTCCTCATATATCTTGCAAAGCAATGACTTCATTTTCCCAGCAGCATGGTAGCCACTCTTCATTCTTCAAAGATAGCTATTTAAAAAATCTCCCCAAACAGAAAACATCAGTGATTTCTGGGCTCCATTCCCATTGGCTGAAATACCCCAGAAGGAATTTAGTTCTTTTCCAAGTCCCATTCTGGTTCTCTGCAGGACTCCCAGCTAAGAAATTTCCTTTGGGATCACTTTCGGCATTGCGTGGGTACTGCCACATGCATCAGGGAAGTGAAATCTGCCTGCTGTATGGCTCTTTTGTGACAGGGCCTTGTGAGGGCTGGTGGGTTGGCAATTGTGGTATAGAAATCTCATTGGCCTGAGGGCTGGAAACCTGGGTTTCAGCCCTGGCTTAGCCAATATCCAGGCAGGTAGGTTGGTGACCTTGGATGATCTAGTCTTTCCCGTCCCCTGGGTCTCAGTTTCTTCATTTGTAAAGCAAAGAGGTAAGGTGAACTGAAGGCTCCCTGCTAGCTCTGACGTTGCTCAAAAACTGCTGCTTAGACTTTTTTTTTTTTTCTCATTAAACTTTTTTAATGGGTCTCAAATTCTGTGACAGATTTTTGGTCAAGTTGTTTCCATTAAAAAGTACTGATTTTAAAAACTAATACCTTAAAACTGCCACACACAGAACAAATGGTCCACAAAACATTCTCCTTCCTTCTGAAGGTTTTGCCATGCACTGTTATCATTAACCAGTTTTTTGCTATTAAACTTAAATGGCCAATTGAGACAAACTGTCCTGAGGCCGCTCTTCCACCACCGATCAAGACGGGGGTGGCAGGTATTGGGGATAACATTCATTTAGCCTTCTGAGCTTTCTGGGCAGACTTGGTGACCTTGCCAGCTCCAGCTGCCTTTTGTCCACTGCTTTGATGACACCCATAGAAACCGTCTGTCTCATGTCACGAACAGCAAAATGGCCCAGAGGAGGATAGTCAGAGAAGCTCTCAACACACATGGGTTTCCCAGGAACCATATCAACAATGACAGCATCACCAGATTTCAAGAGTTTGGGGCCAACTTCCAGCTTTTTCCCAGAACGACGATCAATCTTCTCCTTCAGCTCAGCAAACTTGCAGGCAATGAGAGCTGTGTGACAATCCAGCACAGGTGCACAGCCAGCACTGCTTTGGCCTGGATGGTTCAAGATAATCACCTGAGCTGTGAAGCCAGCTGCTTCCATCGGTGGGTCATTTTTGCTGTCACCAGCCACACTGCCAAAGTGAACATCTTTGACAGACACATTCTTGACATTGAAGCCCACATTGTCCCCAGGAAGGGCTTCACTCAAAGCCTCATGGTGCATTTCAACAGACTTCACTTCAGTTATCACATTGACTGGGGCAAAGGTGACCACCATGCCAGGTTTGAGAACACCAGTCTCCACTCAACCCACAGGGACAGTGCCAATACCACCAATTTTGTAGATGTCCTGGATGGGCAAACGCTAGGGCTTGTCAGTTGGGCGAGTTGGTGGCAGGATGCAATCCAGAGCTTCAATCAGCGTGGTTCCTCTGTCGTTGCCATCTTTTCAGGTGA